CTGCCACTGGGTTGTGGTGGCCACGGGGCATTGGTGGCTGAAGTCTTGAGGTGGCTGCTGGGATTGAGGTAGCCACTGCTGGGCTGTGGTGACTGCAAAGCCGTGGTAGTCACCAGCTAGGCTGTGGGGACAACCAGGTATCAGCAGCCATGGAGCTTGAGGTGGCCACCACCAGGCCATGGTGGCCACCAGCAGGCTGAGGTGACCGTTGAGCTGTGGTCCTCATCGCACGCCAGCAGCTATGAGCTTGAGGTAGCCGCTGCCAGGCTGGGGTTTTGTAGAGCTGTGGTGGCCACCGGGCCTGAAGTTGCGGTGGCCACCACCAGGCTGAACCAACCGCCCAGCTGTGGTGACTTTGCAGCCAGCCGCTCCCGCCAGAAGATGGAGGGAGAGCGGGAGCACCAGACCCCAGCCCTGCTCTTGGCGTAACGCTTCGCAGCTCCTGGCGATGTGGCCTCTGAAGGGGTCTTTCCTTCCTGCTTTATTCCCTGGAAAAAAAGGCCCAAAACTCTCAGATGTTCATGGATTTTTTTTGTATCAGAAATGCAGGTCTTGTGTGCCCTGAGTGACTCTGACCGTAGAAGCGGCAAAAGAATGGAGGATGTGAGCTGAAAAACAGGAAGGGGTTTTTTAGGGGTTTTGTTGTGGGGTTTTTTTTCTTTTAAATTAGGCTGATTGATATTGTTTTGGATTGTAATCCGTATAATTCAAGTGACTGCTGCGTGCTTTGGAGGGAGCATACCTTTGTTAAAGATCGTACTCCCCCGGCTCTTCGCTTCGGCGTGCGTCTTTGAACGTCTAAAAAGGTTTGCGGAAAAGAGCGGATATTTCTGTAGTAAAAAGACAAGTGTTTTTAAAGGATGCCTCTTTTCTTTGTCTCTTCTTGCATTGCAAAAAGGGAAAAATGGCTCAGAGGAGTTAATTAGAAGAATTCTTCTGATAGGGACAGAAGGGTCAGGACGGTCCTTCACAGGCTGGCGGAGAGGACCTCAGCCCTGCCTGACAAAAAGCCAGATTTTCTGGAAGTTTTGTTTTTCCTAGAGGACAGGCAAACAGCTCTGACTGGGCACCGCTGGAGAGGAGAACGAAACGTGAACAGCCCAAGGTTTTTATTTTTCCTTCATCTTGCTTAAAACATATGTCTTGTCTCTTTCTATGGAAATGTTTATTTAGCTAAACAACCCACAAGCAGGTGGGAGAAGAAAACTCTTTGTGAAAACCACAACTCTCCTCCTCTACAAAAAGACTGAAAAAGCTCAGTCTTACTCCTCTGGCACAAACAGGGAAACTTTTTATTTCTTATAATCCCAGATTAGAAAGAAAAAAGGAAAAAAAAAACCACAAGCTCTGGAGAGCTTTCTTTAACATGAATGTTATCAGAAAGCAAAAGGCCAAGCCCTGACATCTCTCTCCCCTTTTAAACATAATTTTTATCATCCCTTTTGACTGAGCGCAGCAGGACTGGTGCGTGCTCTGCGGAAGTCTTTGTTCCTCCGTGGCTGGGGTCTTATCTCCGGCCCGGTGCGTCCCTGCGGTCCCGCTGCAGGTGAGGCTGTGCAGAGGGGCTCGCGCCATGCTGCCGCTGAGCTGTCCTGCTTTTGTGAGTGTAGAAATGAACGTTTCCGAAGGGAGCGATCTGTCCTGTGGGGTTGCGCAGAGCTGATGTGCTGTGCCAGTCCTGCCTGGAGCGTGCCGTTGCTGGAGAAGCGGCTGTTTCAGCCGGCTCCGGGGAGGGCAGCGTCGTCTGGAGCAGGCAGGAGCCCGGTACCCATCCTATTAGCAGGGAGGCCGCGTGCAGCCAGCTGCTGACACGCGTGTGAGATGTGTGCATGCATGTCAGTCGCCTGACCGCTAAGCTACTGTATCTCTGGCCCGTTGTGGTTGTAGGAATAACCACCTGATGGTTCTGCAGCTGATGGTTTGTCGTTGCTTAACCTATGTGAAAGCGCAGTCTGAGGGGATGGGAACATGCTCTCGATTTAGATTGATTTTTGGATGCTAACATCCAACACTGGGCACCCGTATTCCCCCCTTCACGTTCTGTCTTAGACGCGGTCAGAGATGGTCTTCGGCATGTGTGGAGTATAACTGGTTCTCTTTCTTCCTTCAGCCCTGTTAAGTAAATGATCATGACTTTTTCCTTAATACTACAGCAGCAGGCAGTCTAACCAACTGAAAATGTTGTCGCTCATTTGCCTCCCATCCCTCGAGGTCCATGTCTGTGAATTGCGAAAAGAAGAGAGACTCTGAAAGATTCATCAGCAGGGAATTGCTGCTGCGCTGTGGAGAGGACTAGGAAATGGACCATCTCTTCAGAGCTCAGTACGCATCCAGGACAGCCTCCTCTGCAGAGGAGGAAGCCATCGTGCGCTCCCTGCACGCTTCCCTGCGCCGTGAGCCGGCTCCCAGACAGCGAGCGATCACACGGGCCCTTACGAGGTTAATGCGTTATGTGCCATGCACAAGCAAGATCTAGAGCCGAGGGGGTACTGAAGCCTGGCCCAAGGCTTCATGACGTGACCCTGGCACCTGGCTGTCAGGGAACGGGGCAGTTGCTCAGGAAAATGTCGTCACCTGTTTACAAGGCCAAGGACATGCATCCCCATTCATTTGGGGAACAAAGGCACAGTTTTGGCCCCAGGAACGTGGACAGTCGGGAGTGGATTGTTGCTGTGCGTAGATAAATAACCATCTTGTTCCTTCCTTCCTTTTTTCATCTCTGTAGTTCCTGTGCGCTCCCCTCCTTGTCTTTCCTCAGCCATGTCTGCGTCCAGATCTCTGGTTCGTATTCCAGGGTCTTTATTTCTGTCTGTCTCAGTCCTGAAACTGCCCTGGAAGGCTCTTAAGTGCTTTTGTTGCTGCAGTTGATGGGAGCAAAGCCTTCCAGGTTGCATTAGTGCTGCTTCAGGCTGGCAGGCAACAGATGGAAAATAAACTAGTTCAGGAGCTCTGGGGATGGTAATGGTGCTGCAGGCAATAGAGAATAAACACAGTTAAACAGCAGAATACAGAGTATTTATCCTCGCAGCTTTAGGCTTTTATGGGGGTGGCAGGGGAAGCTGCCCCAAATGATGGGTCACAGGGGATGTGCTGCAGGCTGGCTGGCAGGGATGTGGCTTGTCTGACTTGCTCTGTCTCTCTCTTCCTCTCACACCAACGTGGAGCTCTCTTGTCCTGCCTACAAGTTGTCCCTTTCCCTTCAGTGCTGAGTGCTGCGGAGTGGAAATGACTAGAAGCATCTAGAGCCTTTCTGGGGGCTGCTCCAAGGGACGCCTTGCCTTTCAGTGGTGTTTTCCACTGGATGTTCTCCGTCTGGACTTGGCAGAGGGAGAAACCGAGGCACAGGGTGGCTGGGATCTTGCAGAAATTTCTGGAGAAGACCATGGGATTTGTGGCTCCTCACTGTATGGCTGAATGGGTAGGCAGCGCTGCCTACGGAGCAAGGGGCCGAAATGCTCCATCCAGTCCTGAGGCTGGGGACCTGGAGGGGAACCTGAGCAGCAGTTGCGCACCGTAACGCTGGCACGGATCTCAGCACGGGTGTAGGCTAAGTTGCTTTCTGCAGAGTTACAAGGGCTCAGTTCATTTCCTTTGTGTTTTTGTAATGTGGATAGTCATGTATTTGACCGCCTTTGTTTCACTGCGCATCAGTTAATTACAGAATTCACGGTCTCCAGGTGCTCTGAATATCTGCCGGTTTAGGACTAACTATCTGGAAAAAGTTGGAAATTTTTCTGATGAAAGACTCTGAGGCCGACTCTGAGCAAATGATTCAGTTTGAATTACTCAGCCAGATGTAGTTTTAATATGCTCATGCCAACAGTTCCTGGACACCGATCCCTATTGTAAATAGCACAAAATCCTGCCAAGGGGCGTTAATCTTTCAATTTGATGGCTGTGTTTGTGTGCTGGAAAGAATGCAAATTAACTCTGAAGCTGAGAGGGGCCGGAGTGCGTTTCTGCAAGAGGTTGGAATGAAATCTCACTTGCCTCTTCTTCCCCAACTAGGAGCTGGCACTGAAGTCTTTGGGAAGCGAGGGGCTGTTTCTCTTTTCTTCTCTGGACACAAATAATGATCTGTACCTCAGTCCGGAAGAGTTCAAGCCGATAGCTGAGAAGCTGACGGGTAGGTATCTGTCTACCTCGCAGAGCTCTCTCTGCCAGACCGAGCAAAAGCCAAAGATAACGCACTCAACAGTTTTTATTCACGTCTTATTTTTTAATGGGTGCTGGTTTGGGTCTTATTTACGTGAAGAGAGGCTGCTAAGCTTTGCGTGTTTTTGAAAAGGCTGAAGCACTAGACATCACTTTCACAAAGTAGAGTTTTTATAAGACTGAAGATCGCATTGCTGGACTAGCAAAGGACGTAAGTTACTTTGTCTGGAGCTTAAAGGGGATTTGGGATAGGCGAATGCAACAAATACAGCTCAGCCCAGGCTAGGCCAAAACTATTACGGAGTCGCAGCGTTCCAGTCGTACGCTCCTCCGGCCATAGCAGTCTCTCTCGGATAGCAATTGTGAGAGATCGTGTTTGGAGACCGTATCAGCGTGTGGCAAATGTCTCTTGCTGGTGCCAAGCAGGAAGAAGTGTGGTGATAATAATGCATGGGAGAGCTTACAGTACAGTCAAAATACAGACAATTGTTTGCTGGTGCTGTAGTGAATTGGCCAAAGCACGTGTTCTGATCCCTCCTAGGTGAAATGAGGCAGCTTAGCTGAGCCATGGGGTTTAGAGGGTCCTCCACTAAAAGGAGGGCTCCCCTTTTAATTCATGCAGCCGAAGCTGGTCTCTGGGGCAGGTCTGAGTTCTGCCACTGCATAGAGTGTAGCGACAGCTGGGAAACTCCCAGTGCTCCTGGATTTGCCAGGATAAATGTGTAATCGCTTCACAATTGCTTAAAAGGGGAGGGAGGGGAAACAGCTGCTTAAGTTCCTGTCCTTTTGTCTAGGGGTTGCTCCCACCTCAGAATTTGAAGAGGAGGAGACGCCTGATCCAAGCGGGGAGACGTTGTCCATTGTGGCTAAATTCCAGCCTTTGGTCATGGAAACGATGACGAAGAGCAAAGATGGTTTCTTGGGAGTAGGTATCATGCAGGATGCGTATGGCCAGAAATTCTGGTATGAAGACATCCAATGGGCTGGTAGCATCACCAGGAGTAAGTGCTGGCGCATTAGGAGGGGGAGATGATCTTGCTCAAGCCCGTGGGATTTGCTTTGACGAGCAAGCTCGCTGCTTTCTGCAGCGTTTCGTTGTTTTCAGTGCACTCAGCAGCACTGTGCCCCAATTAATACGCCCTTCCTGGGAAGCTTGAAGCAGACGTTAGAGATGGCTCTCCTGGAGCTAAGTCCAAAAGCAGTGGTGTTATGTGGCATGTTCCCCTCTCTCCCATTTCCTATTACTCACATAATTGGAGGTTGACAGAACTATTTGGTGGTGTTTGGAGCGGTAGGATGAATTTAAAATGTCATACTTTTTTTTCCCCTTCTTCAAAGCCCACTTACACCCATCAGCACTACTGCACATTTGAAGAGTCCTGTCTAGGCTCTGATAGTGTCTTTTGTTCACAGATTTCTCATGTCGCTCTGTCCGGGCTGAGGAATTGGACTGCTCCAGCAGCCCCTATGAGCGTGATGCTTGCCAGACAGTTTAAAGCCTTTCTTCCTCCAAAGAATAAACTGGATCTTGGGGATCCGTGGTGGATAATTCCTAGCGAATTGAACATCTTCACTGGGTATCTCTCCAACAACAGATTTTACCCTCCACCTCCCAAGGGCAAAGAGGTGAGATACGAAACTCAATTTCTATATACCTGAGAGGTGGTTTGCATAAGTGTTCTGCCTTATAGCTCAGGTGAATCGCAGGAGTCCCTAGAGCGGACAAGGCTGTTGCATTATGTCTCCCTGGACTTTCTACAGGAGCAAAAAGGCTGCAGCCTACACCCAGAGTACCGTCTCCTAAATTGGAGATAAAACTGAGAGCAGGCAAAAGCGCTGGGTGTCTGTCATGGCCAGATGAGGCTGACTTGAGTAACTTCATCTTGCTTCATTTAAGTGTTTGGGTTTTTAGGTTAGTCTTTCCCGGGCAGGGAGGGGAGAGGGTTGTTCAGAAAGCACTTCTATGAAGAGATCGTGCCTTGTGGAACAGTTGCTGAGTGCCGTCCCAGAGGTGAGCATTTCACTGACAAGTGAAAGGATGTGTGTACATAGTTTGTAAAGCCAGGCGTGTATATCGCTGTTCCCCGGGGTACCCGGGTAGGTGTTAGTGATCACATAGTTGATATACCTTCGCAGCCTGGTGTGTTTATTGATTGTATACCCACTCTTTCAAAGTCTTAAGTAGTATTGATGGAGGCAAGTAGTATTGATGGAGGCAGCCTCGTAGATCAGTTTACCGTACTCAAGACATTCAAGCGATTGGGATGATGGAAACTTGCAAACAATGGGAACAGCATAAAAAGTGTGGAAGATGGATTTATTTTTAAAAGCAGTCTCTTGCTTTATCTCCTTGTTTTGTGATTAGGTAGGTCTCTGAGCTAATTTTTAAGTCACAGCGATTCTCTTGTCTTTCTGATCTGGTGGAGAGTTACTTTGGAGCTGCAGCTGACCTGCTGTGGAGGAGGTGTTCTCATTTTTGCTCTCTTAAAATTCTTTCTCTAGATCATAATCCACAGGCTTTTGAGCATGTTCCACCCACGCCCCTTCGTAAAAACCCGCTTTGCTCCCCAAGGAGCTGTGGCCTGCATCCAAGCCATCAGCACCTTCTACTACACCATAGCATTCAGGTAAGGCCACGGGTCCGGGGTGTTAGAGGAGGGTTTGGGAGCAGTCCTGAATTTGTTCCGTATCTCAGAGGAGGGGAGAAGGCTGCTGTGAGCCCGTGGCAGAGAGTGTGCATGTCATTGCATGTGCAGTCATGTTCCCAAGCAAGACCAGATGTCCTGGCTGGGAGGGAGGCGAAGCAGTGCGAGGAAGAGGGTGGTTCACAGCCAGCTCTGGCCCGTGTGTGATGCTTTGCTGACTCCCGAAGAGGGCACCCGTGCTCCCAGTGTCGCTGGGGCCCTGGAGAGGCAGGGACTGTTGCCCAGATCCAGGACAGCAGCCTTCCTCCATCACCCTTGGTTTGGAACCATCCCTGGCTGAAAGGGGAGAGTCTGATTAGCAAGGAATTTGTTAGATTTTGTTTAATCAGGGAGTGGAGTGCCTTTCCAAGGGGGAGGGTCTGGGGAATTGTTCTCTTGTTTTACTGGGAGTGTTTGTTACAGACAGCTTTGATTTGCCTGATCAAGCTGGAAGGGAGGCTGAAGGGGTCTTAGTCTGTTCTTGTGTTTGAAGGAATGATACTGTAATTCATCCTTCCTGGATGGACACTTACTGCCCAGTTCCAAAAGGCATTGATACTGGAGATGATCCTGACCCAGGGGATCTGCTCCAGTCTTTTACCCTCTTCATCATGTGACATGAAAAGCTTTTTGAACTGAACCTCTGCCCCAGTTTAGCTTCATAATTTCTGGTGCCTGGAGATAGCTTCTCCCTGCTGTCATCTGCAGTGCTTGATCTGTTCTTGCCTCCCGGCGCTGCAGCTGATGGCTCCTTTCTCGTTTCAGGATCCACGCTGAGTTCCAGCTGAACGAGCCACCAGATTTCCCCTTCTGGTTTTCCCCAGGCCAGTTCACAGGTCACATCGTTCTTTCCAAGGATTCTTCCCATGTCCGAGAGTTTAAGCTCTTCGTCCCTAACAACAGGTACAGCTGTTTCGCTCTCTTCCTGGGTGCTGAACAGACCTGAGGATTGTTATAAATGAGGCGCCGTGGAACCCAGGGGCTCTGGGATCCTGTCCTGTGCAGGAGTGGGGGCTGGGGGCAGGGAGGCTGGTGGGCTCTTTTTTTATGAAGATGTAAGTGCGGTGACAGCTCTGTCCCTTGCAGTATGAGGGCATCCTGGCCCGTGCAGGGAAGGCAGATCTGCAGACTGAGCTTTGGGCAGGCTAGTTCTGCTGTTTGCTTATCTGTTTTCCCCACACATCCTTCTCTGCCAGCGGTCATCACAGTCATCATGTCCTCAATTCTCTAGATACAGTTGCTCCCTAAACTGGTTCTGATGCAATTTTTCGGGAATAGCTCTGTTTATCAATGGGTCTGGGGGGCATCTGGCTTGGAAGAGGCAGGGAAGGACAAGGGCAGAGGAGGGACAGGGGAGAAGCAGGGCAGAGGTTGCTGGGGACATGGAGCATGGGGTTGGGGACGGATGTCCTTGCACAACCTGGCTGCAGCTGGCACGTGCGTCAACTGAGCGTCCAAGCCTGAGCTGTCCTGTGCCAAACCACTTTAGAGGGAGGTATCTGCAGGCACATGGGAAGATGCACAGGGATGGAAAATTTAAATTGTCCTGAGGTTGCCCTAGAGACAGGCATCAGCTTCTTCGTTAGTAGCACTGCTGCAAGCACTGCTCCCCTTGACCTGTTCCAGCAGTCCCTGGCTGTGGCAGGGACTCTTGCAGATGTCAGATACCTGTTGCAAGCTGTAGAAGGCTCCTCGGGTGTCTGTGATGGATGAGCTCATGCTTTTCAGCCAAGTCCCTGGAAAATCTGAGTGAATTGAGCTCTGCAGTTGCCTGTAAAACTGGCAAATGCATTTCTACTAGTCACTGAGGATCCCTGACCCGTTTCAGAGTCTGATTCACTCACCAGTAACTGTCCCTTGGTACTTGGAGGATGGGGAGAGACGGGCAGGGTGTGGAGAAGCAGCCCCTGGCAATCCCAGTGCCTGGCTCAAAGCACGGAAGTTCAGCAAAGCCTGATGCTCTTGCTTCAACATATTTTTTGCTTGGTGTTTCACAGGTTAAGGTTTTGCATGCATAGCTTCACACTAGCTTGTTCCTGATCTCTGGCAAGCAGCTGGAAGCGTTTCAGGGGAAAGAAGCTTCAAATCTCTTTGCCCATGACGGCTGGAGTGAAAATTCTATTATAACATTACCCTGGTGACTCAATCCCTACGGCTCTTGTCAGCACATTTGTGACAGCAAGCAGACACTTACGGCTCTGCCAGCAAGTCCTTACAAAAGCCTTTTGCTTCCCAAAAGCACTTTTAAAAGTTCAGCAGAATCAGAATGTGCAAGTTAAGTCCTGGGAAGGAAGGGGGAGCAAAGACACCCCTCTCCCTTACTTTGATGGTACTCAAGGGTGTGAGTGCCTTTGCCCACAGTGTTGGGTGGGCGCCTGGGCCCTGCTCCAGCAGCGATCTGGTGTTGCTGGTCTTGTGCAGGGAACACGGTGATCTCCAAGGAGCCAGAGGCTCTGGGCTTTAGTGCTGACCCTGCAAGAGGAGCACTGGATGTTCTCATTTGTTTGGGGTTTCCCCTACACAGCTTTAGCCTTGGATGACTTTGAACGTATCGGGTTCACCTTGCAGGTCTCTGAACGTTGATATGGAGTGGCTGTATGGGGCGAGCGAAAGCAGCAACATGGAAGTGGATATCGGTTACCTGCCTCAGGTCTGTAGTCACTCTCAGTCCTCTGTGTCCGTGCAGCATCTCAGCAGGGTTTTATGCTGCCATGATAACCTTAGGGATAACCTCAGTTAGCCCTGTTCTTTAGAGCTTTCTCTTGAACATTTCAATATAACAATATAATCTCTGTTGATCTGTGTACGTCCTCTGCAGCTGTGTGGCTCCCTGTTGCCTGTTCTTGTGATATTTTATTGTTTCCCTCTGTCTGGGTTGAATCCTAAGCTCCTGGAGCTGTGTGACTTTTTCCATTTTTAAAAAGTTGTCTGATAGGTAGGGCGGAAGATTAGGAGCTGAACCCAGGCCCTGAGCCCAGAGGGGTGTATTTAGAAACTGCGTGAGGTTATTCCTCTATTTTGTGGTAATCCCAGCTCTTGGGACAGGAAACATAAGTCAGGATTTCGAATGCCTGAATTTAACAGTCCCATTTTCTCCTAAACTAGATCCACAATTCTTTTTAATTGCCAAAAGTCAGGAAAAGAGACTTAGAAAATAATTTCAGATGTACCAGCACACTGAACTGCAGGAAGCTCCTGAACAGCTTTCCCTGTTGCACCCTCTTGCGGCTAGCCACGGGCTGTGCCAGGGCTCTGCCGGTGATACGAGCAAGACCTTCAAACTAGCCCTGCAGGTCCCAAGGATTTTAAGGATCTGGGGTCCCACAGTCAGAAATCTCCACTGGGAAGGTGGGAACATGGAGTGAACAGGTCTCATGCATTTCCAATCTAGCGAGCACAGTCAGACAATAATGGAAGGAAATGAAGTTGTGTTCCTGCTATTCCCTAATAAAACAAGTCTGCAACTGGTAAAGACAACAGATCAAGCTGTATCTTCACTAGAAGCTGCACAGTCTTATTTTGCAGCTTTATCCTGTCCTGGAGTACAGAAAAAACAGGAGTGGGATGTCTGCAATGTCTAACTCCGCCTGTTCTCCTGCAGATGGAGCTGGAATCGACAGGGCCTTCAATCCCCTCTGTGATCCATGATGAGAACGGAAATGTGATTGACAGCAGGGATCCCTCAGGGGAGCCCATTCAGTTTGTGTTCGAAGAGATAACCTGGCAGCAGCAAATCCCCTGGGAAGAGGCAGCTCAGAAGCTGGAAGTGGCCATGTATCCATTTAAGAAGGTGAGGAAGGGGCCGGGCTCTTCCTTGGCACGTTTATTTGGGGCAGGTCATCTTCACTGAGGTGTCCAGTCACCTCGAGGACCAGCAGAAACCAGAGGCCACAACCTGATCAGCATTCAGAGTAGTGTGAAGGTCTCCCAGCTCAGCGTGTGCCTCCCAGGCACTGCGTGTGTGGCTCGATGGGCTTCCAGTTTCCAGATGAGGGAGTAAAGGCCATTTGGGGTCGCGCAGCAGCACAGGCAGGAGCAAAGCCTGGATGTCATGTGTCCCAGGCTTGTAAATGTAGGCTCATCCTTCCTTCCTCTTATCAGTAGCTGCCGACGCGATTTCTGACTGAAGCAGGTAATCGCGCTGCTTACAAATGGTTTTCCTCTGGCGTTACTTTTGCATCGTTCAGCTACCTTTGGACCAAGCTTTCCTTATCAGCAGAAAACACACAATCCGCCTGTGCCTCTGCATCCCCCAGCGAGGCACAAATTTATAGCATTGGGTGACCCAAACTATATAACATGCCAGTAGCCTGGGGAGCAGATGGCTACTGCCTGTCACTGCTTGCTTGGCTGAAGGGACACGTTTCAGTGGCTGCCTCTTTGTGCCTGAGCTTACAAATGTCCCTTTGAGCTGCCAAGATGTTAATAAAGTTCTCTTCATTTGAGCGATTGGAACAATCTGCGCAGGGTCCCTCACAGCCAGTTTTTAGGCCGTTTCAGTGAGGTTTTGTAATAAATATCTCGAGGCCAGATTTCCCAGGCTGCTGAGGTGCGTTTGCAGACAGCCTGCCCGCAGTTGTGCAGGTGCTTTCTGCAGCGTGTAAAGATGGGGCTCTGCAGGTGCCGGTAACAGCCCACTTGCTGTGAGGGGCTCGCTACAATCTCACCGGGAGATGAAGTTGTCCCTGGGGAAAGCACCACAGTTGTCATTTGCTTTAATCTGCAGGATCTACTGCAGATAAAACTCTCTGTGTGTCACCTATGGGATGTGGCAGGTCTGGTTCCTTCAGACGCGGCTCATATTTGAGATGGGCTGTTCTGTGTCTATTTCTCAAGCAGTCTCTCTGCCTCCAGGTCTCCTATCTTCCCTTCACACAAGCTTTTGAGAGAGCAAAAGCAGAAAAGAAGCTGGTGCACTCGATCCTGCTGTGGGGTGCCCTGGACGACCAGTCCTGCTGAGGTGAGGACATTCCCAGCGTGGCTAGAGGAATGATGTGCCTAGTTCAGGCTCTGAGAAGAGCTGGGGGTCAGGGAGCTGGTCACGAGCCAGCAGTAAATGTTGTGTTACTCCTTTTGGCATCGCTCATGCTGAATAGAAAAGGGCTGGAAGTGGGGAATTACTGATCAGAGCTTAGGTCCCCAGTGGCAGGATCAGATCTAGTTGAGGCAAGCCCTAGACCTACTTGCTAATTCGAGTGCCTTTGTCGAGGTGGAGGCATGGGTCTGGTCTTTCTCTTTTCTCTTCCCCTCAGTCTGCTGGGGCAGAGGCAGCATTTGAAGGGTGAAAGGGACGCTGCTCCCTGCTTTGTCCCTGACACCTGCATAGGAGAAGCCAGAGCCAGATGTGGGCTTGGGATTGTCCTGATGCTGTTTCCTCCCCCCAGCACCTAAGAACTTGCATGCCACGTTGAACAGCAGTGATGGGTGGGAGAGGGGCAGATATCTGTAGTCCTCTCTGCCCTTAAAATCTCTCCAGCATGTATGGGCTCTGCTCGGCATGAACAGCAAGGGGCACTCAGGGTGGATCCGCGGGGCCTGATCCTTTCCTAAATGCACCGCACCAGTCAGCTTCTGTGGCAAGCTTGTCCTGTTCCTTCTGTGGCCTTGGAAGTGGCTGGGGTTTGCTCTGGTGAGTCTTCTCTACCAGCAGCACACACAGGAAACAATAAGCTGTGGAAAACTTCCAACGAAGGAGAAAAAAGACAATGGGCTGGGCCGGGGGGAGCCCAAGCCAGCTGCCCCAGCAACCGGAGCGGTGGCATCAAACATAGCAACAGTCAGCTCGGGAAACACAGCAAACCACCGTCTGCCTCTCTTCCTGTGCCAGGTTCGGGGCGAACTCTCCGGGAGACCGTCCTGGAAAGTTCGCCCATCCTCATTAGCAGCTGGTCACTGGTGAAGGAGCTGGAAGAGCTGCAGGTGAGTGCCGCAGCCACATCTGCTGCCTTTGCGTTTGGCGCTGGTGAACGCAGACGTTGCTTGGCTCAGAGGTGCCAGTGGGAGGGGGAGCTCACACCTGCGCCAGTGGGGGATTTCGGTTCCAAGCCCTCCGTGTCCTAGCGATTGCAGGGGCCAAGCAAACACTGGATGGAGGCAAGCTAAGAAAATGGTACAATGACCCCCTTCGCTCTGTCACGGTGCCAATTTTAAAAGCCAAACCAGATGCTTCACTGTGAGATAGCCCTGCCCAAGGCCATTTGTGCCATCAACAAATTGACTTCTCTGTAACCCAGGGAGCAAGCAAATACTGTCTGAACCTTGAGTCTCCTGATTGCACTTTTCCCCACTTACGAGTTTGTCTCTGAGCCTGTGCTGTCAGCTGGGGTCAGTCACAGAGCTGGAGACTCTGGGAAAAGCTGGGATCACATTGTTGGTGTGCCTGGGAACTGCCAGTGATGGGGTGATTTTATTGTTTGGAGAGAAAATCTACAGCTGAAACGTGAGAGGGAGACTGACTGAAAAAAAATAGTAAAGCAGATCATGAGAATGGAGCCAGTTACCACCACGCTACAAAGCAGCTCTTCAGTCCCTCCCTTCCTCCTGTGTTCGGTGTACTCCTCCTGCGCCATTCTGCTAGTTTTGGTGCATGCAAACATGTTTCTTTCGGGTCTCCTTACAGACCAACAGAGAGAATGAGTTCTACAGCAAGCTGGCTGACCTGCACCTGGAGAAATACAACTTCCCCGTGGAGATGATCATCTGCCTCCCCAACGGCACGGTGGTACGTTCCTTACCCCTTAGCTAGGCTTGGCTCTTCCCATTAGAACGTGGTCTCTTCAGGGTCATCCGCAGATCCTGAAGCGAGTGTCCGCTCCCCCAGTCTCTCCCTGGCTCCTCGAGCCTTTGTGGGGCTGTTGTCCCTCACAGTGCCACGCTCTCAGGGATGCTGTGGCAGGCAGACAGCAGCTCTACCAAGAAATCTGAAACAAATGTCTTTTTATTCAGAGACAGAACAGCAGCAGCTCTGGGCGGGGCGGGGTGAACAATCAGACTTGAACCAACTGTCTGCCTGTGATTCCTCATTGTCCCTGGTTGGAGTCAATGACCTTTGGGAAGCCATCGTAGCTTGTTTCCTGCACCCCTTGTCCCTTGTGCCCATGCTTTGGAGAAAATCTCTCCTTATGAGCACCTTTTAGCACATTTATCTTTCTCTTGATTTCCCGAGTTTGTCGCAGCAGATCAGCCATTAGCAAGTCCACACGCTTCGGCTCTGCTGTGCTCCCCAGCAGCCCCCCTGCCTTGGATCTGAAGAACGACAACGGTTCCTGACACTTGACAGTGCGGTGCTTTGCTTTGTGTCAGCAGCCAGGCTGTCTGGAGTGGAGGATCCTGCCAGGGCTAATCTGATTGTGCCCCACACTTGCCAGATATTAGCTAGTAACACGCGCGGTGACTCCTTGCTGTCTCTTCAGTGGCTC